ATGCAGGGACCTCCCCCCCCACCCCACAGCCATTGCTAGGCAACACATACAGGCATCCCTTCCTCCTGGGAATTTCATTGGCCAGAGCAGGAATGGCCCTAACCTGCTTTGGGTTTACAGGGAAATAAGGTATTGTATTAGGATGGGAACAACAGATGCATGGCAGGGGTCTAGACTAACTGCTGAGAACAAACCTAATGAAACATGCTTTACGCTTTGAAAATGCTGGTATTTATCTAAAACTTAAAAACATTCAAATGAGGAAACAAGCAGAAACTTTCATTCTGTTGTTTTTTTTTACCCTGCCGCTGTGCCTCAAATTACTGTCTTGCTCAAGATAAGATCATAAATAAAAAGTTGATATTTTCCTCTGGAAATCTTTCTTAAGTAGCCAAACCAGTTGTACCATCATTTACTGAAATTTGTCCAGGTTCTGAGGCACCAAACCAAGCCCAGATTTTCACGCTACCACTACTATTTAGCAGCCGATTTGGCCTCCAATCTAACCTCTGTCTTGCTGCTTCATGAAAAATGACCTTAACTGAGACCAGGAAGGATTGTGGTGCTTTGTATTCTTTCAATAAGCTTCTTTTTTTCCCTTTCATTTTGTCCTGTTTGCCAATATACCACTAAGACTTGATGTCCCTGTGTTGGATAATAGCCCAACAGATTTGCTTTCATAAGTAGACCATCATTGGTGTTGCTTTGAGTTTCCACTTCATAAGCATGTGGGAAGCTTTAAGTGACTTTGAAAAAAATAAAATAAAATCATTGGCCATGGAGAAAGAAAGGGAGGTGAGAAAGGGAGACGGGATAAAAAGCCTGTTCATGCTGTTTGAGTGCGAAAGTAATTTCTTTCCTGTAGTTTTTCCACAATGTGTTGATCGTGGCGATATCTAAATATCTCTAAATATTTACCTTTGTGAACCCTCGCCAGCAGGAGCTGCTGCTTCCTCGCCAATGTTTTACGCACAGATCCGTCTGCAAAGTTAAAAATTTTCCTAGGTGCTCCATGCAGAATTTCTGTCCACACTGAATCTACGCGGAACCCCAAAATGACGTAATTTGGCCGCACAGATGCATCAAGCATAAACCAAGCTTAAGTGCTATCTGAATAATACTGGCTCTTAGGAAGGAATTAGGACCAGCAAGCATGATGCTTCCTAGCTCCAATGTGTTTAGTATAGGGACCTCCTAATGTTTCTAGCTCCCTGCTAGTAGTTTTACTATCCATGATATAGAATATAGGCACAGCCCAAATCAAGCTGTTTAACAATGATGCATGACTTCATGTACTCTCTGTGACTCAGCCTAATTTCATCACCTTCATATTTTTTTGTTTTATAGTAGAGAGCTTTAACTTTTTACTACATTTGTGTAACTACTTTCTTTTTAATATTTTTTTTCGGAAGGCTATAGTTCTAATTTGATCAGCATCTTTTGTGTCCGCTGCATAATGGCGTAAGTAAGGCTACGTTAACACTGCAGGGCTTAATGCTAAATTCCGATTCTTTTGTGAAATTTTTTTGTGTTGCCGTTCATATTTCCAAATATATGCGACTTGTATGTGATCTCCTGTGTGAACTGCAGTCATACAACGCAACTGTCCCGCATACGCAGTGGAGGACGCAATGACATCACAGACCAGTGTGCTCTATGTTTACGGAAGTAAACATGGATGGGAGTGCCGGCGCGCATCTAGCGGTCTTTTCCAACCATAAAAACTCAATCTTTTCGAACGGTTAAACATAAATTTTGTTCTCTGTATCATCATCTGCCATGGTTGTTGTTTTTCTTGCCGCTTCTGCATATCAAGATGCAGAATAGTGACCTTTGTCGGTTACTAATGACGGCCAGGTGGTTGAATCCGACATTTGAAAAGATCTGATTCGTATCGGATTCAGGACCACATAGCCAAGTGGCCTGGGTAGGATTGAAAAAAAAATTGGATCTGTGTTGTTCAGACTGCCATGAAAAGATCAGATCCAGGTCGCATATGGGCAAAAAAATCGGATTTGGGTCACTTCAGGCTGCAGTGTGAACGTAGCCTAAGAGGGCTGCCTAGATTTGGCACAGCAGTTCGGAGCTCCTTTCCTACTGACTTTTCTGGACAAACTCAGTCCTTTAGCTTCACCTTGTGGTTAGATTCACAGGTGCATTATAAAGACAAATAGTAGCTCACTAAAATGGTCGTTCTTTAAACGATTTAATATCTTATTTCTTAAATAAAAGGTCATTCTATTTTGCATTTGTTTGTAAGCATATAGCAAAGGTCGTACTAATCATAAACAGACATGGCATAACCACTTAAATGAAGAAAGATTTTTGGCATTTCACAGTGGGATACTGAAGATGGATCTTTTATCACTTGGAATTCCTCACCTCCTCAACAGTTGAACCCCCTGCCCCCTTTATTTCACACCTTTCTACCATCTCTGAGTCCTGCTAATTAAGTGCTCCTCACCATGGCTTCTAGCTGATAGAAAGTCCTTGAACTGAGCAGATGTTGAAAGATCTGTTTCATCCTTTGATTTGCTGTGGCCTTCTTAGCATTTTATGTCAATTGCTGAAGACAAACCCTTGTCTCTGCAAACAGATTTTTTCTTTCTATTTTCTTTCATTCTAGCATCCCTTCACATTAATATTGGCTTTAAATAAGCGCTGTCTTTGAACAGGCACTCATTCTAATCTTGACCGGCTTTGGAAAGCAGTTGATCCATCGATTGTGTCCCTTTTCATGATCACATTCAATGAATTAAGCCAGCCCTGGTGTCGAAAGCACTCAAGCTGTGCTGGTCAGTGTGTCTGGATTCAAGCAGATGGGATGTGACTGATGCAGGTGACATCTTCGGAGCTGGACGCAGCTGCTGTATTGTGGCTTCCTTGCCATTATGTGACTGGCCTAATTATCGCCACCCCCTCTCCTCCTTCTTCTTCTCCTCCTTTTCCTGCCAGCATATCTGCAGCTTCCCCTGGCTTAATCCACTTCTGCGGCACTTCTCTCCTACTCACGCTCATCTTACCTTCTCTTCCTCTAATCCCCCACCTTCCCTTCTCTCGCTCCACTTCTTGCAACCCCTTCACTCCTCTGCTGCATGTTCAGCAAGATCGAAGACCAGTGGGAGCTTCTCCATTCCAGTTAAGCATTTTGTTGCTCTCTTTTTGGTCTCTTTATAAAGAAAACACTGACAAGAAAGTATTGGGATTTTTACTGCAGGAAATGTATATTATAGAAAATATAAACTTAGCAGAAAATCTACTTTTTCGATTATATCTTTCCTGTAATAATGCTTCTTTGTAATAAATCTAAGGCAGTTAAAAAAAAATCTCCTTAAATGAGGCTGCGTTTGAGAAGAAAATCTGTTAAAAATATTTTACTGTGCCTTTGACTAAGTTTCATGTAGGAAGGTGGAAGATTTTCACAATTCATTTACTTGACAGCTGGGCTCTAGACAATCTGGCACCACCCTCCCGTCATGCTGGTCATCAGCTAGGTCACATGCTGCTATGGGATGGCATTTCGTGGTGTGTTTGATTTAGTTAAGAGCTGGCAAGTCAGAGTGATGTAATCTCAGAGGTGAAAGCGTCTAGTTTCTTTTGGATGCTCATACAGTAAATGGCTAAAAAACATTTGCATTACATCTGCCCCTTGGTAGCGGTGTGACAGAACTGCTGGTTCTACTGGATATACATGTGGTGCAAATTGGTCATTCAGAGTGGTTGTATCAGGTGCATTGCGTTGTGTTTTTGAAGTGTCACATATGCGCTGGCACCGTGTCCGTGAGCACTATCTGGAGCATATTGGACCATTCGGGCAGAGGAAGTCAGCTGATGAAAAGCACAAAAGATCCGGTCAAGTTTCTTAGTAAAAAATTAACTGTGGGTTCTTTGGGTCACATTTTTCGGACTTTTATGTAATAAAAATTCTGCTCATACATAAACATGAAAAAAATCTAAATATTTGATCTCACCTACCGATTATAGATTCCAAGAAAAGGTTATTTGATAAAGATTGGGCGTACAAAACCCAGGTAGCAGTTCTCAGTTAAACACTTTCCTGCTTTATTGTTCAACTCAAAGCCTACAAATGTTCTACTGTAGCGTAGCGATACTATCCTGGCATGATCTGAGTCCAACCTTGGAGAGGCACTTCAGTCTGAAGCACTCCTCGTGGGGTAGGGTGCATGGCAGGAAGCATGGGGCAGCACTTACCACACTGCTCCTTCATCCACTGGCACCAAGGGGTAAGGCTCCATCCATACAAAGACAGGTTCTAGGCTTAAACGTGAAAATTCTTTACCAAATCAATGTATCTTCCACTCACAACCAAACATATCTTAGAACTAGATGGCAAGGTGAAAATATTTTAAAATACGGCTATCACATTTTCATAGATACTGTTTCTCTGCCACATTTTCTGAGATGCATGCGTCGGCACGCCTCTAGACAAACCCATGCACCACACTAAGAAAATTACAACTGTGGCGCTGCACAGTGTTGTGTGCATTCTCAATTTCCTTCCTGGAAATTGTGTCTGTCATTTCTTCATAGTGCCCCCAACAGATCTGGCATAATTTTGCTTTCTTTTCAACTGTTTTTAGTACATTTAAGTGGAGGCAAAGATGATAATTTTTACAAATGAGGTTTGGTAAAGAGGGGGTGGAGCTACGACGCAATAAAAAAAAAAGACAGTTGACGTTTACGCTCTAAAACATGAAATGGATTAAAGAGTTTGGATATTGGATTGCCACTAGTTGGAGAATCACGAATACACTGCTTCCACCAAAAGCTGTCTCTAACTGGCAGAGAGAAATTAGCAAATTTGTATTTGTGGGGAGCCCAAAAACTAAAATCTTCACTTTAAGGAGGAAAAAAATTCAGCTTTACAAAAACATATCAGTTATCAGGTGTGGTGTTTACCAGCACAGACTAAATAAGAATATGAAGGGTTATAAGTGGTGCTCATGTGTTTTTTCTTCTTCTTTACTTTGATGCTCCAGGTGAGAAGCCGTACAAGTGCTCATGGGAGGGATGCGAGTGGCGATTTGCCAGGAGCGACGAGCTGACAAGGCACTATCGCAAACACACCGGTGCCAAGCCTTTTAAGTGCAACCACTGTGACAGGTCTGTCAAAACAAAACTCTTCCTCCTAACACGCCATCTGATGTTTTTCTCCCATTTTCCTGCCTTAAGTTTAAAAGTGTATATTTTCAGTTAGAATCCAGAGGGCTCTGTTTTTATATGTTTATATGGAGTTTATTAATACTGGAACTAGCTTTCACACAAATGGCTATGAGATATCAAAAGGACTGTGGTCATGTAAGTGTAGTTTTTTAGAGATCAGATTTAGAAGTTTTTATCAAAATTTGAAAATATGGTTAAACTGAAATGTTTCAAAAAAACAGACAATACGTTGGCCATTTTCTGAAAATATTATATCAAGGTAAGAGGAATTTGGTGCCCTCTCCAGCAGTCTATGGGCGAAAGGTGGGGTGTAACCTCGAGAGGTCGCCACTCCACCTTAGGGCAATATGTAGGCCAATTCCAAATTTGATGAATCGTTGCCCCTTGCTCGTCTTCAACTGTAAAAACACTATCATTAGTAGTATGGGTTTAAAGGAATAGTACACCCAAAACATGATTAGCCTTCATTTTCTACTCACCCCCATGCCGAACAACACTCTGGAGTACTTTTTTGATATCTCAAATGCATCTGGAGATCTGGGAGGCTTCTTGCTGTCTGCTGAGATTCAAATAATGGAGGTCTATGGTGCCCGAGGCAGAAAGGTCCATAAAAGTCCACAAAAAAACGTGTCAATATTCCTTCAGTGTTTGCTCTGCCGATAATGCAAGCGTAGAAGAAGAAATGTGCTGTTTACCTGTGCAAAGAAAGAAACAACGAAAGAAAAATGTCTGAGGACTTCAGTGTTGAGGAAGAGCATTAGTTCTTTGCCGAGCTGAATGCGCTGGTTTGGTCTGCCGGCTTCCGTAGAATCGTGAACGCGCTTTTAGGAAATCCTATACACTACTGTTTATGCTCTAAAAACATTCTAAATGACTTTGTTTCCAGTAAATTATGGACCCTACCCACTCAGGACACTTGGAATACATTGGACGAGCAGTATGGAGGAATATTGACAAGTTTTTTGTGGACTTTTATGGACCTTTCTGCCTCGGGCGCTATGGACCTCCATTATTTGAATGTCAGCAGACAGCAAGAAGCCTCCCAGATCTCCAGATGCATTTGAGATATCAAAAAAGTATTCCAGAGTGTTTTTCAGCATGGGAGTGAGTAGAAAATGAAGGCTAATCATGTATTCCTTTAAGAAAAGATCAATTCTGACAAATATCGGGGTATCTCAGTAGACAGTATTTTTGTTGATTCAGAATACCAATATGTGTTAATTAAATTAGATAATATATATTTATTTCGGATATGGTCGAATGGAACCCTAACCCTAACCCTTAAATGTAAAAAATGTAAGAAAACATCAATGTTTTTGGCTTACTTTTATTAAAAGTACACCTCCAGCTACCAGTTTGTAGCACAGCGCCCATGAGGCTATTATTCAGTAGAGATCTCGTGAAGTTTTCCAGACCATTATTATCGCAAAATTTGAAATATACATCATCATTTTAAAGGTATTCTTATATAATGCCCTAAATCATATTATGAAAAATATTGTGTCACCAAACACTTCCCCCTAGTTGGTAGGAAGGAAATATGTAATGCTTTGCTGAATTTAGATGAGATTGTTTGTCCATCTGGACAAATGAAACATGGAGGATGTTTGTCAAAACAGGGACTACAAACTTCTAAAAAAAAAACTACAAATATAAAAGTTACACAAAAATAGTGAGCTGATAAAGTTCTACATTATTAAGTCCATGATGTCAAGAGGGGAATAATAGAAAGTTTCACACAAAGTACACGTCAAGTAATAACGTATTTTTTTTAAAGCGGCTGTGCCTATAACTTTCGTCACAGAAGGGATAGAGGGACACTATATAGCTGTTGGTCTCTAGTTCCAAATAGATCTGTCAGGTGGTCCCTTTGCTGAAGCAAGTATCCTGCATCCTTTCCTGACCTCCTACCTTGCTGCCTGCCCTATTTGGACACCACTTATCATGGCGACCGCTGAAGATTCCTGCTTAGCCTAAAGTACCCTAACTGATATTGCCAAATTCTGGCAGACCAATAGCCTTACAACCATGTACAACAATACTCACAGCTGAGGGAAAGGCACCAATCAACATAAAAGTTATGTTTTTAGACTGTGGAAGGAAGTAGGAGTACAATCTGGGTTTTCAACGTTTTTTCATTGGCTGTTATCGGACTAAAGTGGGAAAAATTCAGACCGACCAAACACAGCCCAATTTTCAACAACTATTTCTGGACTTAATCAAGACTATGACGGACCTACCAGATTAAACCTAAAAACCAACGTCTAAATGACGTCTGTTGTTTGAGGGGAGTACCTCCTTCTCCATAACAACTTCTACAAACAGTGTCCCAGTTTTGTTTAAACTGTGCCAGCATACAGCTGTTAAGTTAAAGTTCTTCACAAGGCAAAAACCCAAATTCATATCAATAAAACTGAATCCAGTTCAGTCAAGTTTCACTACAAACCACTTCAAACTAATACTTCTAACAACCCCAAGTTCAATGGGGGGAGTGTTGGCCTAGTGGGTTAGAGCAGTGCGCTTGTGCTCTGAGAAGGCTGCAAGTACCCAGTTCGATGCCTCGACTCAGACAAGACCCTTAACCCCATACTGCTCCCCGGGCACCGCACGATGGCAGCTCACTGCTCCCCAAGGGGATGGATCAAATGCAGAGGTAGATTCCTCCAAAGTGAGATCAATAAAGTCCAATTATTATTATCTGATTCGGTCCAGTTACCCAGAGTCCAATTTAAACTCATTTGTGGCATGAATAAGTTAAATTCAGTTAAAGATTTAATAGGATTTGTTAAAAAGTGATCTTACTCAGGAAGCTGACTGCATTGTGATTGACTGTGCAGCAATTCCTCATCCTTAAGCAAGCTTGTCCGGGCAATTTAAAGGAGCAAATGCTACTTTACAGGAAAAAAAACCTCTCGCAGAATCATGTTCAGTTATAATCAGCCTGGGACAGAAGAAAGAGACAGAAAAAACTCTCCAGTACTTGGTTAGGAGTACTTTCTACGTACAGAACACATGTGAAACACAAAGTGGACCCAGTAACATCTGTCAGTTCTTTCTTTTAAGAAAAAGACATCTAGAACACCGCGCCTTCAGAGTAACTAGATAAGTGAAAAGATAATGGTCCTATTAATGTCTATGTCCAGTAGAGACAGGAGGATGGAGTAGGTGTACTTACAAAAAAAATAATATTAATAAAAAAAAAAAAAAAAAATTTCTGTGTCATATATATATATATATATATATATATATACACTATATTGCCAAAAGTATTTGCTCACCTGCCTTGACTCACATATGAGCTTAAGTGACATCCCGTTCCTAATCCATAGGGTTCAATATGACGTCGGTCCACCCTTTGCAGCTAGAACAGCTTCAACTCTTCTGGGAAGGCTGTCCACAAGGTTTAGGAGTGTGTTTATGGGAATTTTTGACCATTCTTCCAGAAGCGCATTTGTGAGGTCGCACACTGATGTTGGACGAGAAGGCCTGGCTCTCAGTCTCCGCTCTAATTCATCCCAAAGGTGTTCTATCGGGTTGAGGTCAGGACTCTGTGCAGGCCAGTCAAGTTCATCCACACCAGACTCTGTCATCCATGTCTTTATGGACCTTGCTTTGTGCACTGGTGCACAGTCATGTTGGAAGAGGAAGGGGCCAGCTCCAAACTGTTCCCACAAAGTTGGGAGCATGGAATTGTCCAAAATGTCTTGGTATGCTGAAGCATTCAGAGTTCCTTTCACTGGAACTAAGGGGCCAAGCCCAGCTCCTGAAAAACAACCCCACACCATAATCCCCCCTCCACCAAACTTTACACTTGGCACAATGCAGTCAGACAAGTACCGTTCTCCTGGCAACCGCCAAACCCAGACCCGTCCATCAGATTGCCAGATGGAGAAGCGCGATTCGTCACTCCAGAGAACGCGTCTCCACTGCTCTAGAGTCCAGTGGCGGCGTGCTTTACACCACCGCATCCGACGCTTTGCATTGCACTTGGTGATGTATGGCTTGGATGCAGCTGCTCGACCATGGAAACCCATTCCATGAAGCTCTCTGCGCACTGTTCTTGAGCTAATCTGAAGGCCACATGAAGTTTGGAGGTCTGTAGTGATTGACTCTGCAGAAAGTTGGCGACCTCTTCGCACTATGCGCGTCAGCATCCGCTGACCCCGCTCCGTCAGTTTACGTGGCCTACCACTTCGTGGCTGAGTTGCTGTCGTTCCCAAACACTTCCATTTTCTTATAATACAGCTGACAGTTGACTGTGGAATATTTAGGAGCGAGGAAATTTCACGACTGGATTTGTTGCACAGGTGGCATCCTATCACAGTTCCACGCTGGAATTCACTGAGCTCCTGAGAGCGACCCATTCTTTCACAAATGTTTGTAAAAACAGTCTGCATGCCTAGGTGCTTGAATTTATACACCTGTGGCCATGGAAGTGATTGGAACACCTGATTCCAATAATTTGGATGGGTGAGCAAATACTTTTGGCAATATAGTGTATATATATATATATATATATATATATATATATATATATATATATATATATATATATATATATATATATATATATATATATATATGCCTTTCATTGAAGTTCAATTTAATTATTCCAGTATTTCTATATATTTAAGACAAGTGTTTCCTTTCTACATATTTAAAATACAAATAAAAACAATTGTTTATATGTTGACCTCAAGACAGAGATGTTAACATATATAAAAATTTTTTTTTTATTTGATAAAAGATGTTTCCTTTAAAAAAATAGATATGACTAAAGTATATCTTTTTTAAGCCTTATATAAAATTATATACATATAACATTAAAATCTACAAAATTATGTTGCGATTAATATTCTCTCTTTATTTTACTCTTTTTAAATAAATAACTCATTTTAAACAGTTTTTTTATTAGCATAATTCCAGTTTTATTTTCATGTAAATGATACCCATTGATCTTTATTTATTCATAGGTACAAAAAAGAATAAAGATGTCATTCGTTTGTCAAATGTGGCATAAACAATATACTAGATGTGTGCTTTAAAATACAGTGACAGGGTGGAAATTGAACACAAAAGAGGAAGTTCCTGAATATGGGACCTCTTAAATCATGCATGGATTCATTATAAAAGGACAAAAAGAAATCCCTTCTCACCTAGGGTACTTTCCCTAATGTCGATAAGAATGGGGGGTCTTTGAGTGTGTGTTAATGAACAGCAGGCCAGACAGCGTCAACTAAATCAGGTCCCAGCTGGATAGACTGTAAGTACAGTATCCCCCCCACCCCTGCAGGCACATCCCTAATTCTGGCCCACCTCTGTCATGTGTCAGAAGGTGTCCAGCCTTTCCCGCCTGAAGACCCAAAATCACAAATGCGCCCTGCTGAGATTAAAGAAGAGTGGAAACAGTAGAGACACACACACACACAAAAAGAAGTCGGGGTGAAGATTAAAGATTGAAAGGGGTGTTGTGGGGTGAAACACACCCACGATGTGCCAGCTGGTGTCGTGCCCCCAAGTCGTGACTCATACTTTGCCATCTGTCTCCCAGAGTGCTCACACACACGCCTGGTGACACACAAAAACACGGATGAATGTCTCCTTGGCGCTTTGTTCATTCCTCGAGTGTTTATGAATAAACAGGACAGTAAGACGTTTGACACGGGTTTGGCCTTTCTGGCAAAATAAAAAAAAAACACCTGTCTAAAAAACTATCAACAGCTAGAGACAACATTGCATTTTTTGCTCTACATTTCAACTTATTCATATGTTAAACGTATCCATGACTAGTTGCACTTTTTTTCACCTGTGCAATGCATGCTGGATGATGTGGTTAGGTCCTACTGGATGGAAACTTACAGAATAAACAATAGAATTTTTTTTTAATTATTGTTTTTGCATTTGACTGGTGTAAATGTAGACAATGCCACTTCCTCAAAGTTTTTTATGAGACATCTTTTAAAAAATTTACTAATATGTTCAGCTTCCCATCCACTTTTAACTATATTGGCTAGAGCTAAGACCATTAGCAGAAGCTAATATAAAATCTAAATTAAAGCAGAAGATAATTAATTATTGTTTCAAGTGATGGTAATGCATCGTTCTGTCATTGCAACACATCGACTTAATATATATGTTAAAATCTTTTACAATGCTAACAGTAACTGGAGCTCTTTGTAGCATAGCTCTCCATCTGGATTAGCGTCTCCTTGCTACTGCTGCTGACTCATCTAATGGCCAGCTGTATTTTTATGAATTTTCAATCTTTTATAGACCAGTTCAAAAAAATGTTATGTTATTGACAAACTCAAATATTTGACAGACAAGTCAAGGTAAAATCCTTGTAAAATTTTAAGTCTTTGGAAAGACCAGTCTAAGTCTGTGAAAGACGCTTCTATTTCCTGTCTAAAAGAACTATCATTTTATTCGCAATTGTTTTTCAAAGCCTTAAAGATGCATTTCTATTTGTCTTCCAGAGATTTTACATTGGACCTGGACATGGTTTTCAAACGCTTATTGTATTTGGATTTATCTTTCAAAGACTTGAAATTGGAATTGTCTTTCAAATATTTGAAGTTTGACTTGAATTTGTCTTTCAAAGACTTAATACTTGCCTTAGAACTGGCTATACTTTGGTTGGACTTGGACTTGTCTTTCAAAGACTTAAGATCTGATTTGGACTTGTGTTTCAAAGATCTGCCTTAGAATAATCTGCAAAGACTAACATTTGGCTTCCTCTTTTTCCTCTTAAATTGGATTTGGACTATTCTTTCAAATACTCTAGAAGGGAGGAAAGTATTTTGACTTGCTATCAGAGACAGGTTATGTAGATTATGTAAATTGTAAACATTCTAGACTTTAGGGTCACTTATGCTATAACTTATTTTAATTGTGTCCACACCTGCTCCAAATTAGCTGATCACTCCACTCATTGTTCTGTTTCTTATATATATACTTTTCCTCTGCAGTTCCTCATTGCTGGATTCGTTTCATTTTAATGTATGTTCCTCCCAAGGGTCTCGCTGTTTTGGTTTTTAATTTGCTAGGGGTGTAGATCACACCCATCTTGGCTATTCCATTCAGTATTAATTTCCTGACCCAACGATTCGATTATTTTTGATACTCAAGAATACATCATCTTCTCTCCTCTGCCACTTCTGTCTTGCCTAGCTCTTCTTTCACCTCTGCTATCTCCGCCATGTCTTTCTTGCTTACTGTTTACGCGAGTGTGTGTGCAAGTGAAAAAGGGTAGTGGCTAAAGGAAGCGAGGTAGGAGGGCAAAATCTGTTTAGCGCCACCGCAGCACGGGAGTCAGAATTACGTCAGGGAGCAAATGGATAAAAATAGACCGAAGGAAAAAAAAAAACATGAATCGATACTGTTGCGGACGTGTCAATGCAACGGATCGTCGGCTGTTGGATCGATGCATCGATACAAAACAATTACTATTTACACCCCTATAATTTACCTGCCTGTTTAGCATGGATTTACGCTTCTGTTGCCCTCAACTTCATCGTAAAACCTACATCTCTGCTCTTGTCTCTGCATTTGGGTCCTCTACAAACATCCACCAAAACTGACCCTATGGATGTGTTCGATTTTAGAGGCTGCAGACCCGGTCTACCTGGACTGTGTCCTTTGAGGTTTATGAAAATAAGAGGGTCAGAAGACGTTTGGCTATGGATTAGCTATCTCCGGCTTTCACCACCCCTACACTCTGTCGCCTAGCAACCATGAAAGTTGTCACACAAAGCAGGCAAAGAATGGATACCAAACATCCCACTACTGTCCTGGGCGCTAATAACATTTTAGCTCTAGCAGTTGTACCATCATCGTGAATATCCGACTTATAGTCCCTACACTGCAGAGACATTGGAATATGTGCTTAAATGTCAGCAAAACCCATTTGCACAGGGACAGATGAAAACCTTTCAATGAACCAAACATTCATCGCCACATATCTGACTCTATAACCATTTAAAAGCACTATTTTCATTCATTTCAAATGGAACTATTCAATTACTTGTATTATATTAAACTGCACCTACAATATTCATCACTGTTTTGCGCCATTTACCTCTTTCCTCTGATCACGAAGCAGCCGGCTTGCTTGGTCTCGCATTGAATAATGGGATACCTAATGCTATGTAGGATACACCGGACCGTCCTTCAAACGGGCGAAGAGAAGGCTGCATTTGTTGGCTACATAACAGGGACTCTTCCAATCCGAACAGGCCTTGGCGCCGTAAACGGCCGACAAATCTGTCCTTCCGAGGACACTGCCACTGGATTCAAACTTAGCATGTGAATGTTTTTACATTACTTAAACTGAAGGGCCAATAGGAATGGGTAATACAGGTAACGATAAACAAACTAAAATTCAACCTAAAACAATTTCTCTCAAGTGTTTCTTGGCACATCAATTATCAAAATGCTTCATATCACTTACTACAAAGCCAACCGCTCTTTTGGAAGGCACTTCTCGTGGGAATGGAGGAGTTGTTTTCCATTACAAGCTCTCAGCGGAAACAAAGTTTACCCAGACATGCATATGAAAAACAAAAAAAGTAGGGAGTCTGATAAAAGCGACATGAATGTGTGTGTGGAAGCAGGCACAGAATGAGCCAGCTGAAAGCATTTATTATGTCAGTTTGTGGCGATCAGCTTGAAATCCTCATTTTCGCAAACATTTTTCAAAAACCCCTTGCTGATAACAAAAGACAAGAGCAATTTCATTTTCACCGCGCAGGGACGCCCCAGCAATTCCACAAGGCTGGTTTTTAGATGAGAGGCTCCGAGTCATCTAATTTAACTGTCGTTTTACAGCACATGTTTTGCATGCTGCTTTTTATTCCCCTCCACTCCCCCCACCATCACTGTTTCAACAGATCCATCTGCAGGCTCTCTAGTTATTCATGGCGCAGCTGAAGTCATTAGGAGTTCTGCTGAAAACGCTGATTATGAATTAGTTACACATATACTAATTGCGTGTGCATTAGCGGCTCAGCACTCACTAGCTAAAAGCAACGTTTAGCTCAGTCTACAAAACAAACTTCTTCCTCTTGCTTTGGTAACGAGCTAACAAGATGTTCTCTGTTGTTTTTTTTTCTTCTCTTTTTTCGGCTGCAGGTGCTTCTCCCGGTCGGATCACTTGGCGCTGCATATGAAGAGGCACATCTGAGGAGCCTAAGAGGTCAAAGGAAGTGGAAGGACTGGGAAGTGAACGAAAGAGATGGGGCTAATGACAGCTAAAAAAGAACAAAACGAAGATGGAGAGAGATGGATGATTGACACCAACACACCAAATTGAATCAGAGGGGGGATAAATGGGGGTAGGGCATCTGACCATATGCAGAATCCAACTTATCCACAGTGGCTTTTGTCATTCCAACCTCAAACCTTTTGGTCCAAACATACAGAATAATTTAACGCCATTTGGAAAACCATTTAAGTCCTAGAAGATACATTTCCCACTCTTTTTATGTGTCTTCTAGGGGAAGTTGGATGAATTGTGCTTATCATTGGCAGCTTTTTTGTCATGTCATGACATGTCCCTCATTGACAACCTTCCAAAACAGCTTTGTTCCGCAAGGCATTTGTACAGTCACGCTTTTTCAACATTTCTACTCTTCAGAAAAAAATCTACGGATTTAGAGATGACCTAATTTTCAACAAAACCTGCCTTTATTTTGTCAAACCTGCCTCACCCTTTTGAATCACCTTTAGGTTTATCATCTGACCAAGTGGGCAAATTCCAAATGGATGCATTCACAAATCTTTCTGCTCTGATACCATTGAAGCATTGGCCTCAGTTTCTTTGGAGTCCTCAAAGACTTGACTTGTAAGCAGGATGGTGTTGCACCAATGAGCGGTCCCGTTGTTGCACTGACTTTACCCCCAAGATCAACATCTACTGAAAGGAACGTATCTACTCTGGGAATGTCAGATGAAACTGAGCATCTCGAGAGATGTAGGCAGCTTTATAGGAGTGTTTCCTTCTCAAGATCTTATCGATTGTTGTCAAAAATGGTTGCACAATTGACTTTCAAATTTTTTGTAAAAAAAAATCTAAATAAAATGTTCCAGCGTTGAAAGGAAACGCTCCCTTTTTATGTGCCACCTGAGCACAAGTTTAAGCAGCTTGCCCACTGCTATAGCACACCGAACACAAACAAGATCACCGTGTATTTAAAGGTTATATTGTTTCTAAGAAGATCCTGTTACTTGTTCGAAAAGAGACAATTTTGAATAGACACCTTGCGAAGAACTCACAGGAAATTGATGCAGCTAAAAAAAGGAAAGAAAAGACGAATGCCTGAAATGATCTCTTTGGGCTTTGAGAGTGATTGGCACCAAACTAATCGCTGGACTGAGACAGTACTGCACAAAGCACACATTCCTGCAGAATTCTTCCAATTAAGCATCTCTCTGACTTGACTTCGAGTAACAAAAAAAAAAGCATTGGACAGCTCTTTGAATCTGGACACATGTATAGCAAGAACATTTCTGCTGACTTCCTGACCAGCATGTATGTCAGAATTCTGATATTTTCCCCTACTAGACGGACTCTTAGGAAGGCACATTCAATCAATCAATTGAGTCCTGTCAGAGAAAAATCAATGTGAATGTATTTGTTACAATCCTGTCCATTTAACTAAACCCATGAAAACACTGGGGAATGGTGGGTAAGACCATATTACCATTTTTTCTTTTCTTTTTCACAGTAGGGAAGAATAACTGGACTTGAGTAAAAAAAATGGCTGGTCACAGCTAGTAGCTTTTGATATTTTACTGGCTTTCTTGGACTAGCATGAGTGCTGATTTCCAGTGGGTGGCTCAAATGGGTTAGAAAAAGGTGGTTATGCTCAGTCAGCAATGATAACTGCCCCATCAGCTTATGTAACTGCAGCACAATGAAAGCCACACGCACAAGGGTACAAACATTCAATCCAGATAAAAATGGAATTTACATTAATCTTGTGTAACCAGACCTACGTCATGATGACCAGAAACTACTCATCGATGTCTTAATTTCACAGATTGCATTTGAGATGAACAGCAAATTGCACACAAGCAGCTTGGGTATCAATTTGTCAGCAACTGTTTTGCTACTTATCCCCAGAGTAAAATGTCTTCTTATGAGTTTTAAAGCTTCAGATTTAGGACTTGGTGGAGTAGAGCTAGAATTTGGCTAAGGCTACATCTACATGAAGGTGAAGACAGGATCTGCACAGCAAAGATGGAACAAAAAACAATTAATAGATGTTATAATAAATATGCCAGGTTAGTGAAGCAGATGATAACCATAAAATCACCATAAAATCACCTAGTTTAAAAAGAGCAAGGCAAAATAAAAAACTGTTCACCCAATTAGCCTTAGAGCTAACTTGAACATATTCCAGAGCTTTTAATTTAGCTAGGATCAAATCAAGTACCGCTTGCCACTTTTGTAGACTGTTCAGCAGGGATGGTTGCTAGCGCCTGTCCTAAAAGTTGCTGGAATGACGTCATCACCTAATTTCCATATTCGGTTAATGCTTTGATTCAGTCATAGGAGAGAGGGGGGAAAAATCGGCAAGACAGAAAATTATTAAAAACGCTCTTAATACATTTAAAACGTAAATATTTGACTCTATAAAATGCCTGAACCAAAACTATGGATGTCAATCTTTTTATGCTATGATATTAATTTAATAGGAGACACAATGAAGGAGGCTGTATATGAATTAAATGCTGGTAGGAATCTATTTAAGTGCAATCACTTTAAAGATATATTACATTAAATATGTTTAGAACAAGCTTCAGGGGGATCAAAGGAAGCTTTGTTCATTTGTGACTGATTTTCAATAGAAGAACAGCGGGGAGTAGGTCTCGTTTCATGTCAGTGCTTTGGAGAAGGGAGGGTCTCACAGCAGCTCTCACTGCCTGCTGAAGACAGTCAACTCAGAGCGATTGGTGCTTTTATATTATCGCTTCAGTCTTCAACAACACAGCAACAAGTCCCTAGGTTTGTGGCCAGCCAAAACAAATAGTAGAAGTGTCTGAAAAGTCGCCAAGTTTAAAGACTCTGTCTTCAAAGCTACTTAGCAAGCTAGGTATTATAATGTATGCAATTGCCCTGACTAATTAGCATGCTTAAAGTAACAGCGACATTGTGATATCCATGATGGTTAACCATACATTTACTTTTATCCACAGTTCATTATCTTTTCATAAAGCTAGCATGCTAATAAATACCCACAGCTAATATGCATGAGAACTGTTTCTGGCCTAATGTCTGCAGGTTAATAGGTCACAGTAGTATCAGCAACCTAAGATACAGTTCATTAGCTCTGTTGAAGATTCTCAGTCATCCAGGTCATAGCCATTCCTAAAAAGTAAAAAAAAAACAATCCACTGGACTTGGTTTCCAAGTTTGAAGACGTTTCGCTTTACATCAAGGCAGCTTTGTCAATTCACAGAGGCATGGCTAAACCAAGAAGAGCTACCTCCTCCAACAAGACTCTGCTGTGCACCTGCAGCTTAAGGACATGGGACACTCATTTGAGGACCAGAATGTTCACATTTTGGACAAAGAAGACTGGTGCTTTAAAAGGGGTGTGAAGGAAGCCATTTATCTTAAGACCTTAAGATCTTAAGACCAACCTTAGAGAAAAAACTACAATGCAGCGATAGAGTTGATTCCTTCCCGCTATCATATCAACCCCCAATCCCCATGCAGGGGACAAAACAACTCACCTGGGCAGTCAAGCTAACAATTGCCCCTAACAACCCCCCTTTCCGAGGCATAAACCAGTATATGGTATTGCTGGCTGAAAATAACCCAAAAGGACTCCCCATTCCTAAGGGGCGGACATGTTCTTCTGTTTCAGTTTGCATGCTTTATGAGCCAAAACAAGTTTTTGGGCTTCTATATAAAGCTTCGAACTGAACACTAATTCATTTTGAATTGAGAAAGCTTCCTGGATGGAAAGTGAAACATTCAACCTTGGAAACCAAGTCCAGTGGATTATTTATAACTTTTTTGGAAAGTTTACTAGTGTCTTATAAGAAAAGCCATTATGCTGTTGACCACTGATAATTATTGATCTGCACTATTATATATTGGTACCAACGTCACCAACAACAGCAAAAAGTTCCTAGATTTGTCGCTAATTGCTTTTTTTGGAAGGAAAATTGCAAGAGGGGTCTAAAAAGTTGCTAAATATAGCCACAAAGTTGCTAAATTTTCATCGGTTGGTAGCCATAAGGTTATCCCAATGTTCAAAGTTTATTAAAAAGCTCAGTATTGTTATCTTCAAAATGCCGCGACTAACTGGCATCCTTAAAGTAACAGTAAATACGTAATTTTCATGATAGCTAACTTTAATTTTACCATTAGCCAAAGTGGATTATTACGTTATTAATAAAGCTAGCATGCTAATTACTCGCAGCTCAGGAGCATGACAGTTGTTACCAGCCTGTGTTTGCAGGTTAGTAGTAAACAAGAGTAGTATTTGCATACTAATATACAGTTCATTTTTGTTTTAACAGGAAAGCTAGCATGCTATTGACCACATGTAATTAGCGATCAGTGATTTCACGTTGTCAAATTCTCCAACAACACGATTTTAAAGTCACTATTTTTGCCATTAGTCTCTTTTTTTAATAGAAACGTTGCTAAAGCAATCACTAGCTAAGTACGGCATAACTTAATTTCCACAACCATAAAACTGAAAACATTTTACTCTGGAGATTCAGATTACCACAAAAGAGATCTTTATTTTTCTAAATAATTTAAATTTTAAAGGCCATCTGAGCTGCATTTTCTTGATCATATGTGCAAAACGATGACTAATCAAATAAAGCAAAAGTAATAATGACAAAATTTGGTCGAAAAAACATTTGCTGTTGTGTAATTTTCTCTGACTGCACATGAAATAGGTAACAAGGAACAGCAGTTTCTCCTTTTTTAAGGCGACTGCTTACTATTGATGGCAGCTCTATGTGTGTGTTTCAGTATTTAAGTTCGATACTGTTCTGTTGAATGAATCTGTGTGTTTTATGTAAGCTGGAGACTGTTCTACATCAATTGAAATCATTTGAGTGTTTTGGAATTTTAATGGGTATATTTCGGTTGACTTACCCTTAAACTTTTCTAAATTAGCCAATCTTAAATGATAATCAGCCTCCTCTTGGAGTGCTGACAAACAAAATTATTCTCCAAGTGTTTGGAAAACTGGAACCTTGAAATGTGAATGTGTTTTCTGCATAAAAATAAAGAAAAAAAAATGTTTTTATGCTGTCTCTGAGGATGCGGTTACGTTCAGTGTCACCTTAATGAATGATTCAGTTCTCCCGTGCCTGTGTGTTATTCGTCTCTTTGTGTTTTGCACTTGTTTTTTTTTCTTTTGAGAAAGAAAATCTAACTACATATCTGATGTTTTTTTTTTTACATGTCTACAATCTTACAACTATCCTCTCTATCATGATCACTAAGTCTGTACAGTAGCTTTTTTTTAGCACAATTTCGACACACCGACGCAGATATTCTGCAACACTTTTCACAGATACTTATAGAGGCACATTCTGCTCGTTTCTTTTTTGTTTTTTTGAGCCTGTTTTCCTTTTCATGTGAGGCTGCAGCTCTAGCTCTTTTAGAAAAATATGCTAGGGTTACATGCATTACTATGTGTGACACCACCTCCGTTTCCACAAGGTCTGAATTTTAAATCAAACGCACCTCCCCTTTTTCTACCAGCATACTCTCATCACTTTCCCTTCTCTTCCTTTTTTTTCCCAATAAGAACCCTTTCTCCCTTGCTATTGTCCTTCTGTTTTTGTTTCTCTGTACAAAGTGTTTCAAATTTATCATTTGTATATTATGACGTATGGGTACGATAATGTTCTTTATTATGGAAAAATGAGAAAGATTTATTTTTGTTACTGGTTTGTTTCATAATTCCTTTTTTAAATTGGTATTGTAATATCTCTATGCAAGCAAACTGTTCGGTGAATCGTTTTTATTTAAGAATGTAATTATGTGTAATAAATGGTAGAAGCAGTTTGGCACAGAGTTATTCATGTTTTTTTTTCAGCCGGCCTGTCCCCTTCCAGCAACAATACCCACCTAATCACCCATCTCCATGCTGGATATTTCCTCCGATTTCTTATCGAGTCTCAATCACGGAGTCATTCAGTGTAATAACAAAGGGCGACCAAAGTGACGGGGGTTTTCTCAATGACCAGCAAAATTCTTTTTTTTTTTAAGAGGTATTGCCACAGGTTTTCCGTGCTAAATATGAAAACCAACAAGTCTAAGGACGACAGGGACATTTAAAGTACGCCCTCCTGCTTCTGCTTAGCCCAGGAGAAATGTAAAGACCTGCTGAATTATCTCTCTTTTCGATCAAACGCAGGAAATAAGCCAGAATACCTTCAGTTTGCCTCGGTGCACACTCCATTCTCCGAGGGAGCTACAGCGTTTTAATTACATCTGTTACCAACCAAGGTGATGACTTATCCGCTATTCCTGCCTTTTGACCATGACTAACTGATAAAAAAGGGTAATCGAATAACTAATGGCTAATTAGGAAGTAATTACTCCCTGGTAAATGGCCCTATACAGTGTATTAATTCTCCTCGGGTCTGGCAGGGAGAAACTCCCATAAGGTTTTTTGTTTCATTTAATGCTCCCTAATTGAAATGGGCACCCTCATCAAGAAGCTTACATGTATCTGTCGAACTTAATGTACTTTTATGTGTAATTACTGAAAGGCTGCATATTATCTAGCTCACTACAACATCCGTGTCAGGCCCATTATAAAATAAGGAGCGACAGGGCCATTTTTCAGTAAAGGTCGTGCATCCTGTGACCGCTCTGAGAGCATCGTTCTTTTCCGGTGTGATGAAAATGAGCAATTAGATTTCACAGAGGAGCTAAATAGTTTGATGTGACGTTTAAGAGTATTTATGCAAAATGGATCTGGGAAGAAAATGGTTACCTGGAACAGTTTTTTTATTCTCTTTTTTTTTTTTTTTTTCATCCTATTTCTGCATCACTAATAGGGAATTACAATGGCAGAGGGGTGCAAATTTGCTGCAAAATGAATTGGAAATAGGATAAAGATGAGAAAAAACAGGTTTTATTTGAAATAGATTTCCACACTGTCCATACGTGAATTAGTACAAACAGTAGTGTCTGGTAAAATGTTTGAATCTGGTTATTTATTTAGGATATTATTACATTACAAATAAGATAGCGTTATTTTTTTATGATTGATGAAAATAATTTTATATTTCAATAAACTTAGGCTTATTCTAAGTGTTATGCTTTGTAGATGATGCCACTAAAAAGAAAATATACATAATAAGGAGCTATTTTAACAGTCAGACAGTATACTGTTTTAATATACTGTAGGATGATATAAACGTTTGTGTTACATTTAATCCTTTAATAATAAAAACGTACTTACGTATAACGTATAATAGTGACATTGTATGATTATAGGAAACACAGATATCAAGTAATAATGATGCAGGCACCTTGAAGGGGAAGCAGCTGGACCTTCAGTGCTTCAGGTGATGTTTAAATGATTTTTATTACAAAAGAAGGAACATTTTTTTTTTATTAATATACAATATAAATCTAAATTTCTATTTGATATTGCTAAATTTAGGGAACTGAAACAGTTGCAGAACAGGTAGAGAGAGAAGTGGCTTCAGTTGAGAGTTTAATTTAGTTCAGTATGGGTAACTGAATTTTCTCTCTCTTTTTTGATTTCACATGAATTTTTTATAGCTTGCTTAATTAACACGTTTGTTTGGTTGGATGTTATCTGTTATCTCCACTTCAGATTTATTATGTAAGAAATGTGTTTGGAATTGTACGATAAAATTAGGGCTGTAACTAACAATTATTTTGCAAACCAATTAATCTGTTGATACATTTTTCAATAAATCGATTGATAATCTGATAGCAAAAGGTTCCTTAAAGAAAACAGGTAAAAAAGAAACATTTCTTGAGGAATTCTGGATGGAGAATGTTGACAGACAAATCCTTTTTCATATAAAATGAAGCTCTAGCGAAAGTTCAATTGAAGAAACTCTGACTTACCTCACATCATCAGAAGCCGATCCGTCTCCGAAGCGAGCCAATCAGCTTTGAACTACTCCACCACGAAGCCCAATCAGCGTCCTGCTTCCACTTTATAAACTCCCCCAAATCTCACCACAGCCGCTATCCTGGAATCGCAATGTCAGATTTCGATCCAGACGACAATTCAATTTTCCCCGCTCGGAGAAGCTCCCGTCTAGCAGCTCTCATCTCCTTCTTCCGCGTTACACTCCAAGGGTATATTGCCAGGCTCCGACCTAGACTCTGCTCAGATGTCTTAACGAGCCTCCCTCCTACCTCCTCGTGATTCATCTCCCTCGCCTTCCGCTTCAATCCGCTCCGATTCCTGGCCGCAAAAGACATGCAAGTCCTCCGCTCCCCTCGCCAGGCGCAGAAGGCCTCCCGGATCTGTCCCAGCAGCAGTCACCGCTGCGCCCGCTCCTTCTCATCGTTTCGATGCAGCCTTGGACCTTCTCCAGCTTCCTGATTCATAGCAGCTCCCCCGTCTAGTCCTTCTGGCGCTTAACAGCTCTCAGCCTCCCTCCGCTCCACCGGACTCTCTCACTCAATCCTTCGACGCTGTCCGCACGCTCCAAACGTGGGAATCCCTGCACTGCCACGTCATCCCTGCCGCTGTCTGCTCAGACGGACCTCCCCCTCCCCTCATTCACATTAGGGAACGCCCGCCGGGCCAGCCTTAGGGTAAGACGTATTCAACCATGTTATCATTCATAATTTTCTATCTATTTGAGTTTGCTCTTATGCTTCGTCTGCCTCTATCAGGCATACTTATATTAACACACATGCTGATATTTTCACTAGCCTCGTTCTAATTATTCAGGGGAATATTTTAATTTAGTCTCTTATTCTTCCCTCCCCTGAAGTCGATCAGCAGGTCGCATCAGCAGGTGACTTCACAGTTTTTCTTAAATCATCCGATCTCCGTCTACCAGAGATCTTTCATTGGCCAAAATTTTTGGCCGCATTCAGCATCTATCGTGATTACTCAGAGCTTCTGCAGGAGGGCCATCCGATCAGTCTGTCCCCGCCGTGCACGCTTCATATATATCGTACCTCAGTCTTAGCAGCCCGTCATCTTACCACCCCTTATTATTACTTCTGATTATCGTTCTGTCTTCTTCTTCTTCAAAAAAAATAAATAAATAAAAAAAAAATAAAAACACACAAAACTGATGTTCTCCATCAGTCATTTCTAAATGCCAATTGCGCTCCTTGCTAGGTCAGCTAATTTGCCATGCGCTTATTTCTCAAGGCCGCGCTTTCATTCCCAGTTGCTTGATCCGGCAATTTCCGTCCCTCTCTTGGTCAGATTACTGAACGTAGGCTGCCATTCGGATCTCTGGTCTGACTGCTTCTATTGGAACAAATTTCTTTTCTATGTCGACATTATCTATCTCCTGCCATGCTTCAAAAATTTTACGGATGCTGCATCCGTAGGTTTTGGGGGGTTCTTCAGGACAGGTGGTTCATGGCCTCTTTTATTCACACCCATTATGCTTGTGTGAGGTCTAACCCTAGCTAGCTTGCATCGTGGGGCTTTGGGAAGGAATCGCGTCCGCCCACTGCGATAACTCGTAGTTGAAGCCACTAATAAGTCACTCCTCCTCCCAGTCTCTCATGCCTTCATCAGAAGCATCACTGGCAGCAGTCACTAACGTTTCATCATCTCAGTGCGTTATGTTCAGGCATTCAGCACTTTTATTCGCCCAAGCGTTACCCTACGTCCACTCATGGTTCTTCACCACCTCAGGATACTCTTAGAATCACGTGGCCTTCCCTCTAGTAGGTAATCTGGGCATTCGTTCTGGACCGAGCAGCTGCATTGCAGCTACTCGCGGGGTTCTGAGGCTTCCCTCAGCTCTGGGCCGATGGCTCACCAGCCTATACCTCATTCATCCGCCCAGAACTCTCACCAATTCTCTCAGCTCAGTGCTCTCTCTGCCTCTAGGTAACTCTATTACAAATACTGGTGGTGGTTCAACTCATTTTCATAATTTTCTGACCTAATCACGACTATCCTCTAACTCATTTTCTACTCCCACTCCTTATCAGTTTTCTTCATTATTCCCTGCTTCATGCAGTCTTCCATGCTGTCTCCTTGCTATTCATGCTATCTTCATTCTGGCTCGCATTCATGCAATCTCACCTTGATGACAGGCATTATATGCATTCTCCTGTGTGTCACGTCACGTCTGGTCTGTGTCTCGTCATGCATCCTTGACACCATTTAGCATGCATTCCCTAATGCATCAATTCTTCATATATGTAACCATCCGCAAGAATCATCCGCAAGATTCATTATCAGACTCATCCGCAAGATTCATTATCAGACTCATCCGCAAGATTCATTCCCCATGCATCACATGCTCCCTATCTGTGTCCCGTCGTGTCCCGTCATGCATCCCTTACGCCATTTTGCTTGCATTTTCAATGCATCAATATGCACCATGTCTGCGTCTCGTCATGTCTGTATCCCGTCATGTTATATGTTCTATATGGACTCATCCGCAAGATTCATTATCAGACTCATCCGCAAGATTCATTATCAGACTCATCCGCAAGATTCATTCCCCATGCATCACATGCTCCCTATCTGTGTCTCGTTGTGTCTCGTCATGCATCCCTACGCCATTTTGCTTGCATTTCCAATGCATCAATATGCACCATGTCTGCGTCTCGTCATGTCTGTATCCCGTCATGTTATATGTTCTATATGGACTCATCCGCAAGATTCATTATCAGACTCATCTGCAAGATTCATTATCATCGTCATCATAATAGGATGCACCATCGTCATCATCATCCGCAGGATTCATCATCATCGTCATCATCATCATGGGATCATCATCGTCATGGGTTCATCATCGTCATCATCATCATGGGATCATCATCGTCATCATCATCATGGGATCATCATCGTCATCATCA